CAATGCATGTCTTTGCATAGTGTTTGATAAGGGTGTCATGGACCATTTACAATGCATGTCTCGGCATAGTGTTTGATAAGGGTGTCATGCATCATTTACAATGCATGTCTCTGCATAGTGTTTGATAAAGGTGTCATGCACCATTTACAATGCATGTCTCTGCATAGTGTTTGATAAGGGTGCCATGCATGTCTGATAGTGTTTGATAAGGGTGTCATGGACCATTTACAATGCATGTCTCGGCATAGTGTTTGATAAGGGTGTCATGCATCATTTACAATGCATGTCTCTGCATAGTGTTTGATAAGGGTGTCATGCACCATTTACAATGCATGTCTCTGCATAGTGTTTGATAAGGGTGTCATGCATCATTTACAATGCATGTCTCTGCATAGTGTTTGATAAGGGTGTCATATAGCATTAATGAACGAAATTCACATTACATTCTTATGCTTCGACAATCTGATATTTATGCTGGAGAACACAGTATACAAGTAATGAAAACTGCAAAGTACACAATTTTTGTGAGTGAACCTGTATGTATAAAAATATATACAACCATTAAAAATGATAAAAACCTCAAATGCAGATTAACACCACTTGTTAATGACACAAATACTAATAATTCTCAACTCTTATGAAAGGACCAGTTACTGAGACAAAGCCCTACTCATGACGAAAGCTACTCACCACCAAAGCCACTCACTACGAAGCTACTAGTTGGAGAGTAAAACAAGCAGCCTCTCGGCTGAGATAGCTCTGCTGTTAGCAATGCACATTTCAATTAAAGAACAGAAAGTATCATTAAAAAATGAACAATATGTATAGTATCAAAACAATCAGACTTGCGGTTTTCAACAAGATGTGGAAAATATCACTTTTTACCAAAAATTACAAAAATATTCATCAAAATTAGAGAATTAAAGATATCATCATGAAATGAACGAATCTGAGTTAGAACCACATGTAGTACCTATATATGTAACATCAAAGCAATTGGACTTGAGGTTTTTAACAAGAAGTCGAAAATATCACTTTTTACCAAAAATGACAAAAATATTCACCAAAATTAGAGAATTAAAGATGTCATTACAAAATGAACAAATCTGAGAGAGGTCTACCCAAGGTACATATACACCAAGTATCAAAGCATTCAGGCTTGTAGTTTTCAAGAAGTAGTCGAAAAAGTAAAACATTGACACAAATGACGACGACGGACAATCACTCGTATGATAAGCTCCGCTCGACAAAGTCGACAGCGGAGCTAAAAATATAATACAGCTGATGGAACAGTAAAAAAAGATTTTTACTGATTTAAATTGTTACTTTTACCACACATAAAATTACTACATGGTTCAAGCTGTCTTGAAGTGTGAATTATGAAATAAAACAAATTGTGATGTGACATATATGTTACAGTCACTGTACATTCACTGTTAGTAGGATTAATGGTATTTGCTTTATGTATGTGTTTATGTAAATGACAGGTGTGTCTATGGTCAAAATAAGTGGCATTTTAATCCTCTAGAATACAACAAATGTAATTTGGGGTTTATGAGATGTCCTCTAATAGAGTTTATATAGTATATTGGCAGATGTGTTCAATGATATGTAATTACTGGAGATGAATGCATGATAGATAAGGATAGGAAATCAAATTAACATATGTTCTCAGATAAACACAAATTGATGCTGCTGCATTGTCTCACGATAAACATGTTTCCAGAACAAACTTTATTATCAATAACAATATTTGGTATAAAAACTG